GAGGCCGGGGCTGAGCCCCGCGGAGGTGCGCGGCCGGTCCCGCGCAGCGGGAGAGGGGCCAGCGCCGGGCGCGCAGTGTCCGCGCTCCTGGCGAAAAAGGGCGGGGGGGGGGGGGGGGGACACGACCCCCTCCCCCTGACAACCCCAAAACTATAGCTTCATTTCTTTAGCTTTCACTTTAATAAAATAATGATTCGTTGGGAAAATGGGGTATAAATCTTCATTTTGGAGGCAATTAAAGTGTTGATTTCATTCGTGCCCCTGAGCGATTCTTGTAATTTGCTCAAATAGCTTTATGTACCCAGCACTCCAGAGCTTTTAGAAACCCATTTTCTAGTTAGACTTGTTGGATTACAATTTTTATTCAACAGCAGCGAGCCGAGCTTCCCTCAGCTGGACTCTCGCTGCAGGGCTCCCCTCGCTTTAAGGCGTTGCGCGGGGCCGCTGGTCCCCCGGAGCATCTTCCCCGGCCCCGGCCCGCCGGGCACCTCCCTGCCGCGCCGCCCTCCGCCCGCCCCGCGAAGCTTTTCCCCTTCGCAGCAAAACTGGGGGCGGGGGGGGGGACGGGACGGGACGGGACGGGACGACGACCACAACCCCCGCAGACGTGCACATAAACCCCTTTTAAAAAGCTCATGCCTTCCTTCAAGCCTGCCTCCCCCTGTCACGGCACTACCAGCAGCCCGATAGCCTTTGGCAGATAGGAGAAAATATTTGAGATACTGCCCACGCTGCAACGCAACACACCTTTATGTCGGTAATCTATAAAATAACTCCTGGCTGACAGCGCTGGTGATAATGGCAAAGCGGCTGAGGAAACTCCTGTCTGCTTGACTGCGCCTTGCTTGAACAAAAGGAAACCTCCAGAGTCGGGAGCTGATTACTTCTAAGACTGTATTTACAAAGCTGATTGTAAAGAAGAAATAACTTGGGGTTTTTAGTCGGGGAATTTTTGTGTGTGCGTGTCCGGGGTCCCTCCCCTCTCTCGCAGCCAAAGCGCTGCTACCCCTCGGTTGAGAGAAAGCAAACCAACCAGGAAAACCCCACAGTTCTACCCAACTTGGGGGAAAAAAGCCAAATCTCAGCCACTTCCATCATCTAGTAGCTTAATTTAGCTCTGGGCACCTCCTGAATTAGCCCCAAACGCTCCCATTATAAGGCAAGAATCCCAGCCTAAGCACAGCGGACAGACACAGGAGAAGGGGAGGGCAGAGGGGAAAGCCAGCTTTCCCAAGTCATCCCTATTTCCCACATGGGCTACGGCCGGCATTAAAGGTTTCAACCATCCCAGACAAAAACTGGACACCGTCAAAGCCACGTGAGGCTTTGCTGGCTTGGTTTTGGGGTTTGGATATTTTTATTTTTTAAAGAAAGGGGTTGAAAACGTGAAAGATCAAGAAAAATAATTTAAAACCTGGGTCCCGTTTTATTTTCTCCGGGTTTTTTTCCTTCTATTAAGCAAAATAAAATGGGCGCGTTTGCAGCAGGCAGGCGTGCACAAAGCAATGTTCACTGAAGTCTAAAAGCGTTCGGCCAAGGAAAACTGACAAGACGGACTAATGAACCGTAGAGACGGGAAGAAAATAGCCAGTATTTGCTAGATTTCAAACCCTCTCTGTCTTCCCCGGACCACCTATCTCGGATTTACCATTATTTTGGTAAACGGCTCCAGCCCTCCCTTTCCTAAGCCACCAAGAAGCCAGCGACTCAGGAATACCACTTCTATTATTGTAAAGTGTAAATAAAATAAAGACAAAAATTAAAAGCGACAAGAAACAGGTCGAGTTTGCAGGCGATGCTTTTACAAGCTCATCTCGCCAGGTCGAATCCGGGAGCAAGCCTTAATGAAGCAATAATAGCCACATTATTCAAAAATTTTCATTTCGATGGAAATTTATCTAAAAGGGACTTAATCATATGCAAATAATAAAAGGAGGCGTAGTGACCCAGCAAGCGATCTGCATACAAATTTCAGCGTGTGCGGCGTTGGCGAGATCATACCTGATCTGTTAGATTTGCTGATCTTGTTATGTCTTCACTGTCCGATTTTGATCCGCCCTCTCTATCGTCTATGACCAAATCGATAGGCATTTTTCCTTTCAAACAGCTAATATACCGGTGGCAGAAATTGTCACATAATTCGTGTACCTACATTATGACAGAGGTTAAAAAAAAAAAAGAAAGAAAAGAGGAAAAAGAAAAAGGAAGGGAGGGGAGAAGGAAGAAAATATAATCAGGAATACGTAAGTAAAATTGACAAGTGCAACCAGTCTTCCCCCTTCACCCCTGTGACATCAAAAGTCCTAAATAGGGGAAACACACTGCAATTATCCCCCTGAGACCTCTAGACGCATCCAGAATTAGGAATAACTTTCTTTTCTCGCAAAATAGAGATATCCCAGAAAATTGACAGTGACAAGATGATTCACAGGCTACAACATATTCAACACCCGTGTTAAATTCATCTGCTCCCAGAGCTGTGGCCATTAGAGAGGTGACCTGCATGGGTGACATTTAAGGTAAACTATTTAATTTCATCCAGTTATTTCATCATAAACCCTTTCCAAAGGGGTATGAGGACAGAAAAAGGGATTTAAAAAAAAATAAAAATCCCGGTGCACTGGGCTGAAATACATTATAGGCATCCGTGCCCTGAAATCCCCAGTCGCTCTGATAGACTCGTACCTGAGCCGCCTCTATTAATGGGCAGATTTTAACACATTTTGGGTAGAGTGAGAACAACCTGCCAGTTATGGTTAGATAAAGTGGCTGAGGCTCCCAAGAAACTTTTCAACCATTTAAAAACCTCTCAAAATGTTTATTTTTAGGAGAAAGGGAATTCTCTTCTAGGCCAGCTATCAATGACACGTAAAAAATCCTCAGGAAACCAGAGCACACTTCCAATTTAATGTGAGCTCGGATGACACCGCCTTCTTAGAAATTAGCATTCTCCCTCCTAAGATTTCTAAAATAGCCAGCAAAACCCCCTGCATTTAGGCTGCAATCTCTTTCTTCTGCTCAGAGGTGTACAATATTCCCAGGAACAAGAGACAGACAGAACTATCAACTCTGCTTTGTCTCTGCAAAATGTTACAGGACAATCCGTGCCCTGAGCCTGACCTACAGATGGCTCTTAAAAAAAAAAAAAAATAAATTCCCCATTCTAACTAACTGCAACCAAAGTCTCTTCCCCAGCATCACCAAGAAAAAATAATTATTTTTTTTTTAATCACAATTTCAGGGGCTTGGCTAAACCAACCATTTCAAGTCTCATCTGCAGCACCACAGAACTGCAACTATTTATACAAAGCCAGCAAAGTATTACAACGAACACAAGGCCTGGGCGTTTGAGAGCCCAGTTTTAGAGGCTGAAATTGTAATTAAACTGCGAAGAGAAATGGACGCCAAGATTGGTCTTGACACTAATTACCAGAAAGAAAGACATTTATGCAAATTTACCAGAAGCCTGAACTTCAGCAGTACTGACACGGAGGAGGAAGAAAGAGAGAGAGAGAGAGACAAAAATTACCTTCTCTAATTCCAACAGATGAAACCTTAATACTTGTATGGCTTGAATCATCTGCAAAGATACAAACAACACGAGTATTTATCTCATTCCTGGATTTGGGGATATTTCCCACAGCCGCCCCTGCCGCGCTTTGTAGCTTGACTTTTCTCTAGTAGTAAATAAAAAGTTGTTTTGATTTATGGCAATAACACTAAAACTTAATAGCAGTGGCTTTGTGCACTGTTTAACGAGAAGCGATCTAGAGTTAACCAAAAAAAAAAAAAAGTCCCTATTGCAACGAAGCAACTAAATTATACGGATCATAAACATTTCTTTAAAAAAACCAACCCTCTAAACACCATTGCTGGCTCCTCGCTTTGCGAAAGCGGGAGCAAGACTCCTACAGTGGAGGCAAAATATTTGTTTATCCTTAAGGAAAAAAAAAAAAGAAACAAAGAAAAGACCTCATTTTCGGTGAGTTAGCGAACGGTGCATCTCCAGCCACAGCAATCCTCTACGTTTCCCATCAAGCTGCTTAAAAGGTGCATGGAAGGGCTGGCTACAGCGTGGATAAATCCACACTCCTCTTGGGCAGGCGAGCTCGCCATCAAGCCCACAAGCTCCCGTTTCGATGGGGCTTTCTTTATGTATATCCTTATGGGATTTTTTACTTCCACGCAATTACCGCACCGTATTTACTTGTAATTATAAAAATCATCATATAATAATAATTTAAAAAAAAAGATCCATGTGAGAAATTTTCAATTTGGTACCACCAAACCACCTCGCTAGAAGACACAGAAGTTAAAAAAAAAAAGAAATAAATGGGAAGGGAAGGGAGGGTGGCGGGGTGGGGGTGGGGAGAGGAAGAAGTGTTGTTAACTCTTACCAAGTTATCCAGTTCAGGATTAGAGGAAAAGAGGGGTTTCTCTGCTCGGATCTAAATACAAGAAAGGGGAGGAAAGGGGGGGGGAATAATAAAAAAGATTTGAAATATGGAAGCAGAAAAAGCAGACGTTATTATTTCTTGCTTCATTACACTGTCGGGTCCATTATGTAACCTTTCGTGCAAAGCCCTGACTGCTAGATTTAGTACATCAGCCAAACACTTGAACAAGTGAATCAAATACACCGAAAAATACCTACGGAGCTTCCCCGGCAGAGCCCCGGCCCGGCTCCTGGGAGCCGCGCAGCGAAACTCCCGGCTGGGCACAGACCGCTCCGATTAATTCATTTCTTTAGGGGGGTGGCAACTGCCGAGATTTTCCGATTTTTTTAAATTTTGTTGTTGGTGGTTTTTTTCTTTTTTTTTTTTGCCTCTTGCAGTAAGAGAGGGGGGAGGGGGAAACGCGCATCTTTATCTCAACAGAGACTTGTTTTTCTCGTTACGATTTTTTTTCCCCTCTTTTTTTTCTTTTACTGTTTCAACCCGGTTTTGCTGACCTGTTTGGCGAACACTGCTATGTCTTCATTGAAAGACTCAGAGGAGCAAACATCGCCTCCCGCTACCCCGGGCTCCCTGGGTGTGCATGTAGCTAATTCACATTTCTCAAAAATCAGTGCTAAAAGAGGGAACAGGGGGTGTCTGAAAGAAAATACAATAGTCACACACACAGAGGGGGGGGAAAAAATATCATAACGAAACAAAAAAAAACCCCAAACACAACAACAGTTAGTCCCGCAGCAGCGTGTGTGGGGAGGGGGGCACCCACCGAGGGGGGCTCCGGCACCCCCCGCCGCCTCCCGCAGCGCCCCGGCCCCTTCCCGCAGCCGGCCGGCCGGCAGCCCTGCATCTCCCCGGCCTTTCGGCATTATTTGGCCACAGATATTGTTAATACAACCCTAGGACAAGCTAAGAATAAAACCCAAGCCGGTTCCAGCAGCCATTTTGAATTAACTTTCCTTGGCTTTCGGAAAAAGAAAATACTACTAATAAATTAAAATCTCTGGACCTACACCTCTGCCTTTCATGCTTTTAATTCCCGTTTTCAGCTGGAGGACTTGTTGGGAGCGAAGGGAAAAAAACAAAACCAAAACCACCCAGAAAAGAAGAAACAACCCCCCTCCAGACTCAAAAATAAAAAGAAAGAGCCCCTAAACCCACCCACCCCCCAACAGCCACCACCAAACCAGCCGACCCACCGGCAGGCGCTGGCCAGCTGGGCTGCCTGTCCGCTACCGGCCACCCCGGCCTGGCCCTCCGCCCCCCCCCTGGAGCCCCGCAGCCCCGACCCGCGGGGGGAACCAGGTGCTTTTGGGCTCTCCCAGCTTTAAAAGCCTCCCCGGCAGAAAGGCTGCGTGTGCGTCTGGCTCCCTCGGCCGTTTAATAATTTAAATAAATAAGCGTAGGCACACACACACACACGTATATTTATAACAAGGAGTTCATTTTTTTCCCCAGGGCTTCGTACTTTTTTTTGGGGGGGGTGGTACCGTACACCGTGGAGTTTTAACCAACCCTACAGATTTCTGCAAACCGATGCAGAAACCAAACAACGTGATTTTTTTTTTTTTTAATCCCTCTTCTCCTCACTGTTTGGAGAGCGATTTTAAAAGGCTCTTAAACTTCCCTTCAAACTCAAGACGGGCAGATTCATTTTAAAAGCATCTGCCGCTCAGCGTAACCCATCAGCTCCCTTCACAACGGCCTAGAAACTGCTTTTGCCAGTTTCTAGTTGCCAGTTGCCGCATTGAGAAGCCAGTTGCCGCACTGAGAAGCATTCAATGCTGTCGGATAAAAAGTTCAAAAAAATTAAAATTTACAAAAAGAAAAAAAAAAAAAGGAACAGAGTGGGGAGAAGCAGCTCTTGAGTTTTCCCCTCCGTAGCGCAAGGAGAGATGAACAAGGTGGAAAGTTAGGCAAAGCGCTCCAAACTCTCCCCGCTCCCAAACTCCGTGCAGAGATTTACCACCCGGCGCAGGTTGTGCCCTGGGAATATTATTTTCCTCCTCTTCCTCCTCCTCCTCCTCCTCCCCGCGGTGCTGCCTGCCGCCCCTCCAGCAAGCTCCGGCTCCTATTTTTCCGGAGCCCCCGCGGCTCCCCGTGGCCGGGGGTCCCCAGCCCTCTCTCCCCCCTTTTAAAAAATAATAATAATAAAAAATGAAGAACATGGCCCCTTTTCCGCGCGGCGCTCCCCATCCCACCCTTCCCCACCCCCTTCCCGCGCAGGAGCAGCCCGGCCCGCACCACCCCCCCCCCGCAGCTCCATCCCGCGCAGGTTGCGCGGGCGCGGAGCCTTACGCGGCACCTACCCGTAGATGGCATCTTTATCTCTCTTGAGGGCGTCGTTGACGGAGGCGCCCATGGCGGGGGGCATGGCGTTGGCGTGGGCGGCGTGCGGGTACTGGTGCGAGTGGAGCGGCGGCCCGTGGTTGAGGTGGTGGACGGGCTGCATGGGGCGGGCGCCGTGGGGGTCCCCGTACATGGTGGTGGGGATGCCCACCCCCTCCATGCCGCCGTAGTGGGGCAGTTCGTCGTACTGCGGGGCAGAGAGAGCAGAGAGGCGTCAG